AAATATAAGAGCGTTTGATTCATGTTCACACCAAAATGACACAATTTGTATTTCATACCTTGTACATGCATATGTGTTTTGTTCTCACCAGAAAGAGGAAACGCTGGACAAAACAGACGTTATTTCACTTTTCTCTACCTTCAGCTTAATAATGAGTAAGGAAATTTGGAAAGGAAAAAGACCTATGGATTTCCCTGTCTTTCCTTTTCCTTCTGTATAATCATTTTCAGCATGTTTGGCTAGTACAGAGTAAGTGCCATGAGAAAGACAGACATGACAGGGTCCTTTGTTGTTATGGTTTTTCTGTGTTCCAGTCAAGTTCTGGTGTGAATGGAAAGCGTGGCCTCTTGGAGCTGTCGGCACCCCTGCTTATGCAGATTTAACACGCTTACCTTGTCAGCTTCCAACCCCCATGGGTCCAAGGTTCTCCCCAAGGTTGTCTCCACATAAATAACATAGTTAACATTAAGGATGTTAGCCACAGAGTTTTTGTAGATGCTCTTTATCAAGTTGAGAAAGTTACCCTTTATTCCTCTTTTTCTAATTTTTTTTTTAAATCATGAACGGATGTTGAATTTTGTCATGTGCTTTTTCTGATATCAGTTGACATCATGAGGTTTTTCTTCTTTAGACTGTTAATGTGCTGGATTACACTGATTGGTTTTAAAATATTAAACCAGCTTTGCATACTCGGAATAAGCCCCACTTCAGCATAGTCTACAATTCTCTATTTTTGCTGAATTCCATTTGCTGACACTTTAAGGATGTTTGCATCTACATCCGTGAGGGATATTGGGCTATAGTTTCTTTCTTTCTTCTGTCTGTCTGGTTTTGGTATCAGGATGATACTAGCTTCATAAAATGCATTGGGAAGTGTTCCCTTCTCTTCTATTTTCTGGAGGAGATTTTGTAGAATTGGTGGTAATCCTTCTCTCAAACTTTGGTAGAATTCTCCAATAAACCTATGTGCACCTGGAAATTTCTTTCCTGAGAGTTCTTAAATTATGAATTCAATTTCCTTAATACTTATAGGTCTATTCAAATAATCTGTTTCACATTGAATGAGTTGTGGCAGTTTGTGTATTTTGAAGAGTGGAGCGTTTTGTTGAAGTTGTCAAATTTGCGTGTGTAGAGTTCTTTGTAGCAATCCTGTATTATGCTCTTGGTGTCTGTCTGGTCTGTAGTGATAGCCATGTTTCATTCCTGATACGGCTAATTTGTGTCTTTTCTCTCTCTTTTCTTTGTCAGTCTTTCTAGAGGTTTGTCAGATTTATCAGTCTTTTCAAAGGACTGACTCTTGATTTCATTGAATTTCTCTACTGTTTTTCTGTTTTCAACTAATTGGTTTCTGCTCTTTATTACATTTCCTTCCTTCTGCTTGCTTTGCATTTATTCTGCTCTGCTTTTTCTGTGCTCTTGAGGTGAGAGCTTAAGTTATTGATAAATTTTTCATGTTTTATTTTCATACAGTTTGATGTATTTTTTTAATTTCCTTTGAGACTTTCTCTTTGACTTAAGGACCATTTTTTTTTTAAAGATTTTATTGTTTTCCTTTGTCCCCCCAAAGCCCTTCGGTACATAGTTGTATATTCTTTGTTGTGGGTCTTTCTAGTTGTGGCATGTGGGACGCCGCCTCAGCATGGTTTGATGAGCAGTGCCATGTCCGCGCCCAGGATTCGAACCAACGAAACACTGGGCCGCCTGCAGCGGAGTGCGCAAACTTAACCACTCGGCCAAGAGGCCGGCCCCTAAGGACCATTTAAAAGTAGGTTGTTTAGTTACCAAGTGTTTGGATATTTTCTTGTTATCTTTTCTGATATCGATTTCCAAGTTTGATTCCATTGTGATGAGAGAAGACACTCCGTATGATTTCGATTCATTTAAATTTGTTGAGATTTGTTTTATGACCCAGGGTGTGATCAATCATGGTATATGTTCTTTGGGCACTTGAAACGAAGGCGTATTCTGCTGTTGCTGGGTGGCATATTCTGTATGTGTCAGTTAGGTACTTTGGTTGATGGTGTTGTTGAGGTTCAATATCCTCGCTGACTTTCTGTCTAGCTGTTCTATCAGTTGTTGAAGTCTCCAACTCTAATTGTGTATTCGTCTATTTCTCCTTTTGGTTCCATCAGTTTGCATCACATATTTTGCAGCTCTGCTGTTTTGTGCATACACATTTAGGATTGCTTTGTCTTCTTGTTGGACTGACCCTTTTATGGTTATATAATCAAGGAAGGGAAGGGATTTCTTGTTAGCGCCGGGTGGGGATGGAGTCCAGGCTCCCCGTGTGGTTAGTAGAGTGATTAGTTTACTTTTTACGTTTACTGTCAGATTGATAAAAATTATAAAGCGTGACAACTGTTGTTTATCTGTTGGTCAGGCTGTGGGGAAGCCAGCCCCTCATGGATTGCTTTTGGGACTGTACATTAGTCCAACTTTCATGGGCAACACTCTGGTAATAGTTAACAAGTTTACAAAGTCACGTACCCTTTGACCAAGCTGTCCTGCTTCTAGGAACTTATGTAAGCACACGTGAGTGAAATAACGTTAAGAGCAGAAGATTGGAAACAGTCTAAACGCCCTTTAGTAGGAGACTTGTTAAATTAATAATGGTGCGGTCCACTCGTGGAATACTGAGGCCGCCACGTTTTCAAAAAAGGAGATGTTAACCCTTTGATACGGAATGATTAATCGTTGAGATAAAACATTAGGTGAGGAAAAAACAAGGGAACGTGCAGAACAGTGCATCTAGTATGTTATCATTTGTGTAAAAGGAAAAAATGCACAAACGGGTATTTGCCTGTATACGCAAAAAATGCGTATCAGGCTGGTTACACAAGCAACTGTGAACAGCGCTTCCTCGGGAGTTGCCCGCCCCATCCTCTGAGGCCACAGTGGACTGTCCGACCGGCCTTCTCCAAGCCCAGGCGCCAGCGGCGGGATCTAAAGAAGCCACAGGCGGTGGAAGCAATTGGCAGAGACGAGCCAGGCCCTGCGGCCACGCTGCTTGCCCTTTGAACCTGCTTGGTCGGTGTTTGATTTTGCTGACACTTAGGTCCCCAGTGTGGAGGGCGGAGAGAGAAGGAGCCCGCCCATTGGCCCAGGGGCCCTGGAAACTGCCCTCACTCAGGCGTCCGGTGCTCAGACCCTTAATTAATGGAGAGGCTGCGCGGTGGGGGGATGGGGTCCAGGCACTGAGAACGCCCGCTCATGGCGATGAGACAGAAAAAGCGGTTCTGGGGCGTCACCCTAACCTCGACTGCTTCACCCCAATCAGGGTGGCTCCTCCTCCTCCCCAACTCTGTCCACGCCCCTCCTTCCAGGCCCCCTCGGGTTTGTAAATGTCTCTTGGGTCCGCCTTGATGTCACTGCTGGGAGAGAGATACAGAGATGGGGGATTTCTTAGCCTGGAACAGCCTCCCCACCCCCTCCTCTTCCCAAACTGCTTGGTCTTGCATGGTGAGGGGGCCTAAGAGAGTCCCAGGAGCTGTCTGCACTCTTCCCGCGCACTCACATGCTTCTCCCCTTGGAGGAACCCTCCAAACCCAGAGAATACAAAAGAATGTTCCTCACCAAGTGAGTGCCCTCTCTGAGCCTCAGTCTTTCCACCTGTAACGTGGGGGTGTGTGCAGATTTTATATGAGGATGTCAGAATTGTCTGATTATGTGTCTGACTGTCCCACCCCTTGCAGGAGGGTCGGGGCGTGTCTGGGTTTGCCTGCTGCCATATTCCCAATCTCGAGCTTGGTGCCTAGCACACAGAAAGCTGCCCATATTTGTGGAGGGCATTAATGCTCCCAGATGTCTGCCCAGGAGCCCACTTTGTGGTGTCTCTTGGCTTCAGCCCACAGATCTGGCTGTCCGTGGGTTGGGGGGTCAGGAGCACCCAGAATCCGGGTCTCTAATGTCCCCAGCTGAGGCTGGAGCGTTCCCCAAGAGGGCCAAATGTCCTTTTGGGTCAATTCCCACTTCAGTCAGGGCTTCCACGATCCTTTCATTCTAACATTTGCTGAGAAGCTGGTTCAGGGACCCTAGGGATCCAACAGTCTGAGATGCCACACTCCCTTTCGTTTCTTAGATGATCCTTTCCTTCACTGAGAGAGAGACATTGCCTAAATAATCCCACAGAGGAATGCAAAATGTACACCAGATGCTCTGAGAACTTCTTGCAGGGGTGCAAGGCCCATTCCTCCCGAAGGTCAGAGAAGAATTCCTGAAATGAGATCCAAGGGAGGAGGAGTTTACCAGACAAAGGGGGAGGAGGCAGCTCATGCTGGGAGCTATAAAAGTCCCCTCCCCAGCCCCATGGTGATTTCCAACCTGAAGTGAGTTTGCTCATGGTTGCGCAGGAAGCCAATCTCTGACACCAAGTGTAGTGGAAGAAAGTAGGAATTTTATTATTGCACAGTGCTGAGCAAAGAGAAAGGGCAGCTAACACTGAAATCCCAAACTCCCCGAAAAGCTAAAAGTAAGGGTTTTTATTTGGGGTTTTAGGTAGTGGAGGGGCAGCATATGGCCTTGCTGGTTGGAGCTTTTCCACCAGCCTGTGTTTGGCCTTGAGATTACTTGCAGAGAGGAATAGGAGGAGATAATGAATCCTGGTCCTTGGCCATTTGTCTCCATGGCCAATAGTGGATTCTGGAGCCAGGAAGCCAGGGAGTAAGCAGGGAATGAGTGCTTGGTTTTAACTCCATATATACTGGATTTCATGTAGGGAAACCGATATCAGAGCCAGTATCAATTTCCCCCTATTTTATGTTCATTCTTGAGGGATTTGGGGCAGTGACCAATCCAGCTACTTCCTGCTGCATCAGGGCCTAGGTTGTTCCATCTCATTGAAGCAGTCTTTTTTTTTTTTTTTTTTTTTTGAGGAAGATTAGCTCCGAGCTAACATCTGCTGCCAATCCTCCTCTTTTTGCTGAGGAAGGCTGGCCCTGAGCTAACATCCATGCCCATCTTCCTCTACTTTATCAGTGGGATGCCTACCATAGCATGGCTTGCCAAGTGGTGTCATGTCCGCACCTGGGATTCAAACTGGCAAACCCCAGGCCGCCAAAGCAGAACGTGCACACTTAACTGCTGTGCCACAGGGCTGGGACCTGAACCAGTCTTTTAATAAGGTAGTTATACACGTAGGCCCCAACGTTAGGCCTGTATTGTGTAAATAAGCAACCAGGTATTTAATAAGAAGTTTTTCTAGAGAAACAAAAAGAGAAAAACAAGGTGCATGGTTGGAGCAAATTATAAAGTAGTTCTTGAGCCCAGGGGGCAGCCAATCAAGATTCCTAGAAGTCAGGGTTGAAGCATCTTTCACAGTTTGCAATGTCTCTGATGGTGTCATCGGGCACACAGGTAGCTTTCTGAGAGGCTCACCCAGCAGCAGACGTGAATCTCTCCTAAGTTTGTATCAAGTCCTCCAGCTTCAGTTTGCAAGGCTTCAGGGGAAAAAAGGCAGGTTTTGTTTTCAATGATTCTGAGTGAAAATGATGGGGAAAAATCCTGAAAATGTTAGTTTGGAGGTTTGTAGCCCGATATTTCAGGAGACTAGAAGAATTCATGATCCAGTCCAGTGAACAGATGTAACAAAAATCTTAAAGACAATTGACAGAACCAAAATCCAATATCCAAAAATGCAGTTTTTCTTGAAACATGATTTTTCTCTCTCTAAAATTACCCTCAGTTTTACTAAACAAAGCCAAAGTAAGACCCACTGGTTTACAAAATGTCTAGTTTGATAAACTTGGCCCAATTATTTACATAAGTACAGCAAGAATAGTAATTGATTAAGTAGGCTCTTTCAAATCTGCTTTGCTGGAACCTTTTATAGGGAATCTCAGATTGAACTTTAAAGGCCTCTCAGGGCCAGGAAAGCCAAGCCATGGACTTATCATCAGATTCCAACTGCAGTACTACAAATTTGGGTGAATTCCTCTCTTTGTGAGGTTTCCTGAAATATTGAGCTTCCTTGCACCTGCCAGAGGGAGTGACACTCTTTACTCCAACCTTACAGGTTACTGGGAACCCATAAGCAAGGTATCAGGCCCATATTACCAAGTGGCTTTATTCCAGGAAGTCAACCTTTGTTCCTCAAAAGCTGTCTGGTCATATCTGAGCCTGTATGTTTTTCTCAAATATGATGTTCCAGTCAAAGCCTTGGTATTATAACCAGTGTTTCCAATTGTGTCCTGCTATAAGAAGAACAGATTCTTATTGAACTTATGCAAATAACCATATTGCCATGAAAATAAGAATACTTACTCATCAGGAGTTTTTCCAATTTGGAGGGCTCAGATAGCGAGAAAAATATAAATACCTCAATTTTGAAATCATAATTCCTTAAGAGAATAGAGAAAAAGGTTTTCTTAAATCTGAAAAAAAACCAAAACATCAAAAATCAGCAGTATCTCAAGCAAAATGCCATAAAAATTATAATCATCCCTATTGGTTTATTCAGTCCTGTATAAGCAGTTCTTGATCCTAATCTTCTGTCACAGTTTATGAGGTCATCAGTTTCTCTGTTAGAGTTCTGTAATTTCTACCCAGTTTAGTTTTACAATCTGAACATTTATCAGAAACCTGTACTCTATAATAAGCGCCAGAGTCCTTTCTATGAATTTCTCTGAAGATGAAACATATTTGCAAAAACATCAGAGTAAAACAGCATCTGTCTGCAAATAACAAAACATCTAAAAGTGGCAACTGACAAAGACACTTTACCATTATTGTGACATATAATACTTTGAGGTAATAACCAGAATCATGGCTAACAATCAGAACAGACCAGAATTTTAGGAATGTTGTATAATTTTTGAGACCCTTATGTCAATAACATTTATCCACATAATACCATTTAAGAAAGTTTGTTAGGGGCTGGCCCAGTGACACAGTGGTTAAGTTTGCACATTCCACTTCTCGGCAGCTTGGGGTTCACTGGTTCGGATCCCAGGTGCGGACATGGCACTGCTTGGTAAAGCCATGCTGTGGTAGGTGTCCCACATATAAAAAAGTAGAGGAAGATGGGCATGGATGTTAGCTCAGGGCCAGTGTTCCTCAGCAAATGATGAGGATTGGCAGTAGTTAGCTCAGGGCTAATCTTCCTCAAAGAAAAAAAAAAGAAAGCTTATTATTACTTATTTGACAATGATTCCCATGTAATCTAATATACCAAATAAGCCTAATTAGTTTAGCTTTATTTTTTTGTAGGAAGAGAGCAAATTTCTCTGAGAAGTCTCAGGGGCCCTCTGGAAATCCCCAGAGAAACTCTCCCTCTTCCCCCAGGTCAAAAGAAAGCTTTCATTCAGGACTTGCATATTTGTGTGTGGGGGAGCTTGTCAAAAATATTAAAAGGCAAAAAAAAAAATCTTTTATAACCTCTTTATTAAGATCAGACCAAAAGTTCAAGAAGAATATCCTTTTGAGAGAGAAAACCAAATTTTGATTTTGCACAGCATACTTTTCATATTGAAACTTACTTACTTAATAAATTTATTTCAATCTCAGCCAACTTGACCATACATAAAATTCTTTATGGTTTTACTTTCACAAACCTTTGTTACTTAATTTTTACATTCAGAATTTGTCCCAGTACTTTAGGACAAATTTATCTTTCTTAACTCAAGAAACAAAAATATTTCCATTCTTTATAACTTTTTTGCTGAAAACATATATTTTACTTTCCTTGTATACAGACCTTTTAGAAATATGTGTTTTCCCATAGAAAATTCTTCAGCATACATAAAACACGTTTATCAATAAACCTAAGAACTTTTCAGTTTCTTTGATATAAGAAACCAAAGGCAGACAAATATATGCTTAGTAGTTAACCTTTAATATTTTATCTTATGTGGAAATGACCTAGATACCCAATAAACTGTTATTATTAAATTTAACTTACCAAAGCTATAAAGTTTAAATTTCTAAAAAGATTTTGGAAGCTGTTTTTTTAAGTATACAGAATATAAAACATAGTTATTGTACTTAAAAACTGCTACCCAGTTTTAACAATTATCTTTAAATTGCTCTTAAAAACTTCATGTAAAGTTAAAGCAGTTAGCTATCATTTTAAGTTGTTTTAAGTACATGCACCATAATACCTAAAATTATTGTTAAAAAGCTGTTCGAAAAATTTTTATCTTTTTTACATTTATTTAGTTTACCTGTTCTCAAGAATTATATTTAGATCACCTAAGAAAACCTCATGGAACATCAAACAAAATTAACTATTCTACTGAGCTATTAGTTTTCCTGATAAATTTTGTAACAGAGATAACTGAGCTCATTTGACCAGTAAACCCAGGCTGCATGTCTGCATCATAGCCAATGCTGATAACTTTGTAGATATGTCTATTTTAAATCAAACCAGCAAACTTAGGCTTTCATTCACCAAAGATCATTTTATATCATGTTAAATAACTGTCGATTAGAAGTTTTGACATATTAATCAAAGACTGCATTCCATTGTGAGAGATTTTGAATCCGCTCTTTTCTGAAACAGAAGTTTCCTAGAATGGCCGTTACAATTTTAAGTTATCTCAAAAGTTTACTTATTCTTACTTGTTCAATTTTAGATCAGGAATTTCGGGGGAGTTGAAGTGAAGCTCATCTTGAAGGGAAGCTCAGCAAGAGAGCAGAGAAAAGCAGCAGATTTGGCTTCAGCTGCTGGCATGTTTAATTATTTATTTATTTTCTCTTAAAGAGGCAGTAAAGTATTTCTGATTTTATTTAGAAGCCTCAAAAGATTAAAACAGGCTTCCCATTGTTGTAGCTGGCTTTTTCCAATTGCATACGTCAGTTTGGGTAAACTGAAATTGGCCCGTTTTGGCCATTTTAATGTGAGGTCACCTTTAGCATGTTTAATTAACATTACCTGAAAGCTGGATTTCTATGCTCTTAGAATATCAGGTAGGGGAAACATTCCCCAATGAGGCATAATGTTTATCCCCATGACATAATTTACAATACAACCAGACAAAAGAGATATAATTATTTTACTAACGCCCATTTAAATATACTAATCTTTACAAACTTTTATCTTAATTTTTCAACTCTTATATCCTTAATTATGACTTATATTAGAGTTCCATTAACAAGTTTTGGTATTACAATATTATGTAGAGAAAGCATTCCCAATTATACGGAACATCTATTCCCCCGCAAAAAAAATCCAGGCAAAGTTGATATAACCTCTTTATATAATATCAGCTTAAATGCTTTTAATTTTTATAGTCTTATCAACCTTAGTAGCCTAACTGTTTCCCCAAACAATTGTTGGTCAGGGTTTTTTATTGTGATTTCTGCCTTCTGGCTTTTTAATTTTTTCAAACTGGGGTGAAAGGAACAGGTTTGTCTGATGTCCTGTAATGTTGGGGGATCAATGGGGGCTGTCCCTTTAGCCCATCCAACCTTAGGCAGTGTTTTATTAAAACCTTTGTTTTAAGTTTATTCATGTCTATTCCATTTATCCCATTTTTCTTTTTAATAACTAGCTAAAGATTTCCATCCTGTTGGGATGAGTCCTGTGCCTCTTCCCTGTCTGATTTCTCTTTGTTAACTAAATGTTTTCATTAGAATCTGTAAGACCACAAGAAGCAGCTGAGACCCCAAGTTTGATTCAGCTCTTAAGACTAGTCCTTATATTTCCCTTTGAATTTGGTCTTTTCATAGGTAGCAATAAAACAGCTGTTTATCATGAGAACTCTCTGAAAATTTTTTCCAACTTAAGGATCGGTTATTTGGCCATTTTTTTTCCTCTGGAATCTGAAGACTATTGTGGCCACGTGGTGTTACTAGAGAAAATCATCCCTCTTTAGACATTGGCTTATAGCTATAGGTCGACCAATCAGCCAGAGTGTTTCCCAAGGGGCTCTTAGGTGGAATAGATGCAGCACTGCCCACGTTAACTCCTTGAAAAGGACAAACAGACAAACAACAACAAGGACCAAACAAGTGTGCTTTCCCAAAAACCCTTGGCCACAAACAGAGGCCAAAACAAATACCAAAACCCAAACCAAAAACCAAAGTGCTTCCAGTCCCAGCTTAGTCTGTGTCCTACACTCCGGGGGCACCCAACAAATGAAGATCAGCTATGCAGATCTTCCCAAATGAGCAAGGACAAGGGACCTTGGTGTGCACACCAGGGGACTTACCAACACCTGGCCAGGGCGTCGTGACTTCAAAACAAACTGAGCCCAGAGGGCTGCCAGGTACCCATTATTCCCGCCAGTCCTATTGGAAAAGGTTAGCACAAAGACAAAAACAAAAACTGCAAGCTACTTACAAGAGACATCTTCCTAATCCTGAACATAGTTTCTTTCACCAACAAAGCAAAAGCGCCATGTGCCAACAATGTCTGGTTAGCAGCCAGTTACTTGGGGCTGTCCTTGAGATGAGGAGCTCAGGCAGCTGCAGGTCAGCTTCCAAGAGAGGCCTTTAGCCAGAGGCTGGTGTGCCACAGCCGAGATGTCTTCTTGGGACAATGTCCCATCTGGGTTCTCAAATTGATATCGAACCTGAAGTGAGTTTGCTCACCTGTTGCGCAGCAAGCCAATCTCTGACACCGGGTATAGTGGAAGAAAGTAGGAATTTTATTATTGCACAGTGCTGAGCGAGGAGAAAAGGCAGCTAACACTGAAATCCCAAACTCCCTGAAAAGCTAAAAGTAAGGGTTTTTATTTGGGGTTTTAGGTAGGGGAGAGGGAGCACGTGGCCTTGCTGGTTGGAGCTTTTCCACCAGCCTGTGTTTGGCCTTGAGACTACTGGCAGAGAGGAGAAGGAGATAACAAATCCAGGTGGCTGTCCTTGGCCATTTGTTTCCATGGCAGATAGTGGATTCTGGTGCCCGGAAGCCAGGGAGTAAGCAGGGAATGAGTGTCTGGTTTTAACTCCATATATACTGGGTTTATTGTAGGGAAACCAATAACAGGGCTGTTATCACAGGCACTCTGCCCAGCTCCATTTGCTGGGAGATTGGTCTCTGTCCAATGGGAGCCAACCTTTACCACATACTGCCAGGAGAGGGCACCTGGCTCCTAGCTTTGGCTTCAGCCTGCCACGGTCCTGTGATCTCGTGTATGATATACCTCCCAACTGCCCTGGGAGACAGGCAAAAGGCAGTTTATTGCTCCCTCTCGTACAAGAAACTAAGGCTCAGAGAAGTTTGATGGACATGGCTAGTGAGTAGTCTTTTGACTTGTTCTGAGGGCCTTTACTCATGGAAGCCTCTGCTCTGATAGTGACACTCAGTGTGATGATACTAGTTCACATTTGTTCAGTACTTTTTATGCTCCACCCTATAAGGTAGCTGCTGTAATAATACCCATCTTATAGATGAAAAAAAAAAAAACTATGGCTTATAGTGGTTGATTGGTCCAAAGTTAGGAGGCACCAGTGATGCTGACTCTAGAACCTCTGCTGGTAAGCACTGCTACTCAGCTTTCCCATCATGTTGTTCTCTATACCCCCCACCACACATTCACTACAGAGTGCTAGATGCTAGATATGAAAACACAGGAAGGAACAGAACAAAGACCCTGCTCCCTTGGAGCTCCTTCTTAGTGGACATGTGTGTCTTTACACACGACTACAGTTATACAAACCTTCACACACATGGTCATTCATGCATACACTTTCCCAACCATCACATACAAATACACATACACACAGATTCACACTCTTACACTTGCACACACATTCACACACTCTCACATGCTCATTCACACATATTCAGACACACACCTACTCTGTTAGTGTGTAGGACTGTCCCTTGACTTGTGCTTTAACTGCCAGGTCCCTGGGGCCTGAGGTTCAGCCAGTGACCTGTGAGCTGTTTGTAACAGCCTTCCTTTCCTTTTCCCTTCCATTCATTCCAAACACATTGCCAGCTGTCCACTCAGGGGCAGGCTACTGGGGAACACGGATGACTCAGACCTGGCCCCTGCGCTCCAGGAACTTCCTAGCAGTGGAGGAGAAAGACTCACCAACAAGCACCACACAGATCATCATGCCAGGGCAGGTCTGCAAAATCTCCAGAGTGGAGGGAGGGGATGATGCACAGGCCTGGGGGCTAGAGGGGTTTCTCAGAGAGAGAGGTTCCCACCTGGGTCTTCAGAAAAAGCCAGGCAGAGAAAGCAGAAAGCAGAGACCTTCCCAGGTGTGGAAAAACATCTGCAAAGTCATGGCACAGTTAAAAAGTGGGGGGAAAAAAATAGCAGCTAACATCGTGAACTGTTTCAAACCCTCTGTGTAGATTATCCTGTTAAACTCCTTCAACAACCCTATGGGATAGAGATCATTATTTACTACGTTTTATAGGTATGGAAACTGAGGATCAGGGAGCCCTAGCTGGTAAGCTGCAGAGTCAGAATCTGAACCCAGTTCCTCCTGGCTCCAGGGTGTAGGCTCATGGCCGCAGGCCACTGATGCCTTGGCTACGATCACTTCTGCTTCCCACACATATACACCCTCCCTTTCTCTCCCTCTGACACTGAAGGGGATGCTGACAGGTGCACCAACGTAGTGTCACTCTCTCTACTGTCTCCAAAACTCATCAAGGTACCCTGGTGCCTCCTTTACCCAACAAGCTGTTCTGCCCAAGAAGAACTTCCAAATAGTATGCCCTTAGGGAACACACGGGTTGGTTTTGTTTTGGGCAGACAGCTTTGTAAAATGTGTTATACATGCCCCTAACTCTTCTGAAAGTTCAGAGGGTTGTGAACTCCTCCAGGGAAGCCGCGAAGCCTTGGGCATCTCTGCATGCCAGCCTCCAGCCTGGCCCAGGGTAGCTACCTGGTCAAGGTTTGTGGACTAGAATGGATGACACATGGGTTTGAGCAGAGGGTAGAACATGGTAGTCCTTGGGATGTTTGCCTTACAGCTGACGTTTTCTGACATTTTGAATTTGCTGGTAATTTTTAAAAATCAGAGGAGTTGACATGGAAATCCATATTTCCAGCTTCTCTTTAAGAAATTATCAGATCTAGCAACTGAGCCTACATTGTCGTATGGAAATGGGTGGGGGAGCTGGATGTTAGTGGACCTCTTTAGATGCTGTTTAAGCTCTCCAGGCCAACATATGTCCCCATCCCTGGCCCACTTCGGTTGTCATGCCAGCCTGACCTCTGACTTAAAGTTTTCTCAATGGTCCAGGATCATCCCAATGAACATTGGTTGTCATTCTCATTTGCAGAACATCCACTGAGATTTTGCCCCTACGCTACATGTCCCCACATTGTAGGACTCCGTGAATTCTTGTGTTGGTTATAATTTACCTATCTTTCCCCTTTTGTCAGCTGTCACCTCTAGCTGATGTCAATGAGGCCATCTTTTGTGCCTTGCTCTCTCCCTATTGGAGTAGAGGCTGCCCAGCCAAAGGCAAGGATGGGACAGACAGGGAGGGGTCACTCCAGACCCTACTGATTGCCTATTTTCAGGGGCCAAGATGGATTCCTGGACCTTAGTCCAGAAATATGGGCAAAGATGGTGTTGTAAGTTAAATGGTGGCCTCCCAAAAGATGTGTTCACATAGAATTTGTGACTGTGACCTTATCTAGAAAAAAGGTCTTTTTAGATGTCGTTAAATTAAGGATCTTGAAATGTGATCATACTGGATTCAGGTGGGCCCTAAATTCACTGACAAATGTCCTTATAAGAGAAGGCAGGGAGAGAAGACAGACACAGAGAAGACCACATGAAGACAGAGGCAGAGACTGGAGTTAAGCATCTACGCCCAGTGAACGAATGGCAAGGATTGCTATCAGTCAGAGAAACTGCAGAGAGGAATGGAACAGATTCTCCTTTAGGGCCTCCAGAAGGAACCAACTCTGCTGACACCTTGATTTTGGACTCTGGCCTCCAGAACTGTGAGAGAATACATTTCTGTTGTTTTAAGCCACCAAATTTGCAGTACTTTGTCACAGAAGCCCTAAGACTCTAACACAGATGGGAAGGCGAGAGAAAATGGAAGAGTGGGCAGCGTGGAAAAGGCTGACCCTGGTAACTCAGTTTCCCCTGTCCCTCAGAGAGAGGGAGAATATGGAGAAAGATGAGGTGATGGGGCAGTAGCAAGGGTTGGTCAGAGTCACCCCCACCACCACCCCCGGGACTCCAAAGACTCGCAGGGAATGAAGCATTCTGGCAAGCTATGGGTTTATTATAGAAAGCTTTTTATTTGAAGGTTGTAAGCAAGTGTCCTCAGGGAACTGCTCTTGGGAGGGTGAGGTGGGTCTGTAGGGAGGCAAATCAGCCGGGCCTGGCATCTCAAGTGACAGGGGTTCACACCAGCTACCCATTCCAGGCAGGTTGTCTGGCAGAGGGGTCACCCAGGAAGGGGAGGGGAGACAGCAGCAGGGAATCCTAAGAGCAGAGAGAAGGAGGGTGGCATGGAGTGTGGCTTCTCAGACAAAAGTGGTGAGAGAAGTTGGATCCTTCATCCAACTCTGCCTGTTTTCATTTTCTTCCTTCTCACATTCTCTCATATTCATGGGCACTTATTAGGTGCCAGAACTGTGTAAATAATATCCATCTACAATATAGAAGGTGGGACAAGGCGATCCTGAAAGTTCTTTTTAGGACATTGTGTGATTCTAGCTGCAAACCAGGATCCTAAAGTACAAGCATTAATAATAATCCCTTGAACTCAAGCTTCCGAGCAGATCTTCATAGGCTCCCTGTGGGATGCGCAGGGCTGGGATCATTATTCACTTTACAGAAGAGGAGACCGAGGGATGAGCACTTGGCTGAAGCATCACAGAGTCAGCAGTGGACGAGAGCCTGGGCCTTGAAGAGCTCACACCCAAAGAGGGAGATTGATGTGGTCATGTGGTGTGAGGATCCAATGATGAGTGTTGTGCTCCAAGAACCTGGATCTGGTGGGTCCAAAAGGAGGACAAAGAGCTTGGCATCACCTCTCCATGGTGTTCTGAGGCTGACTGCACATAATTCTGTGGCCTGGCATCTGCTTATCTGTGGCTGTGTAACAAACCACCCATGCTTAGTGGCATAAAACAATAACAATCATTTTTTATTATTATTATCATCTTTTGAGTTAGGGGGTTGATTTGGCTCAACTGGGCAATTCTTGTTCATGGTCTCTTGTGTGGTTGCAGTCAAGCAGTGACTGGACTATGTCATCTTGAAGGTTCCCTCACTCATGTGGCTACCAGTTGATGCTGGCTGTCAACCTCAGTGGGGCTGTCAGCAGGAAACCTGCACATGGCCTCTCCATGTGGCCTGGGCTTCCTCACAGCATGGCAGCTGGGTTTCAAGGGTAAGCATCCCAAGAGAGAGCCAGGTGGAACTTGTATCAACTTTTTTTTCTTAAGTATTCTTTAAAAAATTTTTTCTAGCTTTAGTGAGATACAATTGACATATAACATTATGTAAGTTTAAGGTATGCAATGTGATGATTTGATACACATATATATTGTGAAATGATTGCCACAACAAGGTTAGTTACTACGTCATTCACCTGACATGATTACTGGGTAATTTTTTGTGGTGGTGGTGACGGTGAGAAGACATAAGATCTACTCTCTTCACAACTTTCGAGTATGCAATACAGTATTATTAACTATAGTCACCCTGCTGTACGTTAGATCTCCAGAACTTATTCATTGTATAACTG